GTTTATACGCACAGTGCACATTGTGAAGGCATTCACTTTTTCTTATATCCTATTAAAAGTAGCCATAGACAGAATTTTTCTGGCTGCATTGAATAAGGTGAGTGGACGTAAATTCTTCAGAGGACCAATGGGGTTTTTTTGCTTCTGTAAGGGTGTTATATTAGCCTCTCAAATGGAAATGGTGAAAGTATGTGTCTCGAAACAACTGTTGATGATTCCAAAATGTTCATGAACTGTACTATTAGAGTACTCGTTAGCTCGTTGGGATATTCCATCAGGACCATTAGCCTCCCATTTTTCAAGCTAGAGGTGGCTGCATGTATTTCAACTCCAGTAACAAATAATAAATAATAAATAATAAATAATAAATAATAAATAATAAATAATAAACAATAAATAATAAATAATAAATTATAAATTATAAATTATAAATTATAAATTATAAATTATAAATTATAAATTATAAATTATAAATTATAAATTATAAATTATAAATTATAAATTATAAATTATAAATTATAAATTATAAATTATAAATTATAAATTATAAATTATAAATTACTTTGCAACTTAAAGTTAACACATGTATCAGATCAAAACTGAAGTTTTAGAAGAAAATTATTCAAACAAACTCAGTAATCATACGCTGCTAAAATGGACGACTGGGGTCAACAAGAGAACTTCAAATATCCCGATATGGGGAGACACAGGAAGATATCCCCTTGGAATACAATTGAGTAAGCTCTTTCTTGACTTCCACAACAGACTCGTCCTCCTTGACAGAAAAAACTCACCACAGATTGTTCGCCATGCTTTTGTAGAGCAAAGAAACCTAGAACTGACCTGGTTCCGAGCATCAAGAGCGCTGACCGACGCATTTGACCCAGGAGCAATTAAACGAACAATTGTCTCGAAGAATGCTCCCATGCCGAACAGCCAACTCGTTCGGAGTAGAATGAGAAATTGGTTCCAAGAAAAGTGGGAAAAAGCTCGACTTGAAAACAAAAAGCTTACATTCTACAACGAAGTCAAAAGCAGCTTTGGATTAGAACCATACCTGTCTCTACCCAATCACAAGAAAACCCGATGTACTACATGGCTGAGGACAAGCTCCCACAAACTTAATATCGAGACGGGGCGATATGGCTGGAAAAACTCAAGCATCTTCTACAGAGCTTGCCACTTCTGCTGCAGCTCAGACAGAATCACCATAGACCTCCTGAACGAGCTCCCGTTTAGTGACATCATTAAAGAAGACGAAGTCCATTTGCTTAAAGAATGTCCTGTCTACAAGGAGATCAGACAAAGAAACAGCACAGACCTTCACAACATACTCACAAATAGTCAATTCAGTAAATTATTTAATGAAGATTACATTTTGGAGACCAGAAATTTTGTTTATAATCTATTTCGTGAAAGATTTCCTAAAAGTAAGCTATGACTTAGTATCCTTATTTCGTGCACATTTTGAAACCTTTTAATTATTTATTTAAGATATTATGTTCTTATTTTGTTTGGTTGTATAACTTTCATTTAACTGATTGGGATCTGACACATGTAATTTTGTAATGATCTTTCTAATTTCTAATTTCTAATTTCTAATTTCTAATTTCTACAAAAATAAAAGGAAGGATTTCAAGATGAACACTGATTATGGAGACTTCGAAAATTACAGCTTGCTTTCACGGAATAAGTTGTAAATAAAATTTCTAGTCCCTAGAATATGGGTTTCCTCAAATAATACACTAAGTTGTCTATTGTTATATTAAGCAGATTGTGGAATTCCGTGCTGGTTCTTTGTCTTATCATATGCAATTTCTATATAATATGTACATACAATCAAAATTCCCAAATAGCTTCATATTGGAAAAGCTCGAATGCAACATTAAAAAGTTAAAGCCATTGATCAATAAAAGAAATACTCACTTGACATAAACATAATGGCCATTGTAGGACTGTCTTGAGCTGTAAATCGAAATATGATTGCAAAAACTTGCATCAAATTTCACTGTGTAACCATTATCTTTTTGACCGTAGTAGTATTGCGATAACAAAACGTTTTCTTCCCATTTAAATGTTTTAGGCGTAAAGGCTGTCGATTTCAATATCGTCACTTTGTATCTATAAGGAGCAGCTGAAATGGTTATCGTTTAATTTTTAAGACAATTAGATATAAAATATTTAACATTTTCATCACTTCTTAAATGTATACCAGAATGAGCCCGATCAGAATTAACAGGGTTGTAGCGGGATTTAAATACGATACCAGGTCGCAGGATGTGGTTGCAATCTGCAGTACCCAAGGGTTCCTTTCAAGGTTGCAGGTTTCACTCGATAGATAAACGTGATAAATTACAATACAATAACACCTTGGCTGTTGAGTGCTACCCGCGATAATTCCCGACGCTTTAGCGGAGGGAACGCAGTGAACGAAACGAAGCCAAGGTATTATTTGTTATATATTTTTCCGGTTCTGATTGGAAGATGTGTAATGTGATACGTGCGCATTATACAATATAGTGTGTAATATATAGTGTGCAACTGTTTTTGTTTTTAAACTTCTCGCCAGCAAGTCTGAGGCGACTCACAGTCTGTCCTCATAATAGGTACTCTGGCAACCCTTGCGGAAAATTATCAGTAACCAGTGTTCACAACTTTTCGGGGATATAATTCCCGAAATTAATTATAAAATTTGTTTGTTGATACCTTAAGTTTTCTATGTGAAAGACCACGGAATAGAATTACTTAGAATAGCTTAATTGTTTTTCTTATTGTTCAATAGTTCATACTGATACTTATAGTATGTATCAAGAAAAATAAAATTAGCGACAAAAATTGTTTATCGACACAAATTTTTGCCATTTTATCCGTCGGAACTCTCCCGTATGATAAGATGATAAATCACTCGAATAATCAACATAAAGTCAAAGATTCAACAATTGAAGCACTTGACCTATTTGTACATTGGCATAAAATGGAAAATTCCCTCTGCTGTATTAATGAATATTCGTCGGATGAAATGTTTTACAACCAACAAAAATTGAAACCGATAACGGTAACATTTTCATATGATTATGAACAGTACGGCTAGTCGAGGAATCCAGGGATGAATCAGAATTGCAAATGGCTATAACCTCCCAATACTGAACCACAAAGAATCCCTAATACACCAATTGTTATTAATACTCAGTACTCACGGACATCCGGAGAACAAGTGAGAGCGAAAGCAGAGCGGAGGGCACCAAGTGTCACCAACACAGTCAACAACATGATTCGAGTAATAGGCGAACTTCGGGCTAGAGATGTATCACACCATCTGCCTTGTTTCACCGCTAACAGAAACAGATTTAACAGATTAAGGGGACTGGTGGGGGGCAGGGACAAAAGGATTTCGCGATTATTTTGGCCAAACTATACATTAAACTATACATAAAATTTGTCGCAAATAATGGGAAAAATCGCAATTTCGTACATGCCACGATTTCCTTTTGTCCCTGGTGGGGGGGGGGGGGGGGAGGGGAGAGCTAAACGACATTTGAACAAGATCAAATAAAGACTCAGAAATACCATTATTCTAACCCTACAGGTTGCCTCTCCTAAGACAATTGGCAAGTTCAATGATGACATACTTATTGGAGGCTAAATCGTCGATAACCATTATTTATTTGTAACGATGTAATTTGAGAGATCATATTAATCATTGAATAATCTTTGTGTCAAATCTATTATTATTTTATTAGCGATAGACATATGTACCAATACGAGGACAAACAGTTAAAAAAGAAAGAATAAGCAACCGTTTTGGTAAAGGTAAACAGAACAAACAGTACGTTTTCAGGAAGTGTAAACTTGCAGTCTGTAAGCCCATCTCTTGCAAAAACTGAAACTGTGCTGTAATGTTCTCCAATGCTAGACAAGACAAGATAAGATGAGTCGTGTTTATTCCTTCTGCTTCAAGGCAATAATGGACATTCATTTTTGAGCATCTAATTTTGTTAAACAAAATTTGGGGACACACAAATTTAATGCTAAATTTGCGACCCAAACCTAAACAAGAAGACCCCAAACAACGCGATTTAACCAGAGAGAAACCTCAAAAACGTCCAAGAACTATAGCACATATTGGTATAACCACTTATTGCCTGGCATTATTACCGCCTCGTTCTTTGGGAACTTCTTTGGGAGCTGAAGACGATTTACACAAGTATTTTGAAAGCTCCTGCTAATAAAATCCTTTCGTATCACTTATATGTTTTAAATATCCCCCTCCAGGTTTGGGAACTTTATTTGAAGGGAACTATGTTATAACCAGTAACCACATATATATTATACACATATCAACATGTTACTTAACGGTCCGTTTATGGACAGTGCTTATTTGAGCAATATGCCCTCATAATTGGCGCCGCTCACAATCTGCTTTGCGTGTATTATTATAAGAGTATCATACAAATTATTCTAGTTGAAACAGTAAGGCTTATTATTATTTTGTAATGATTTGAGAACAATGTTATTATAGTGGTTTTCAATTCTCAACAGTACTGCAGTCATTGACATTATCAGACACTGCATTGAGGTGTTTTAATAATCTTAGCTACTCTGGGTTTCACTTTGCACGATACTTCGTAACCCTTTAATTTCTGTTTATTCGATATGGAATGCAACCTATAGAGATTCAAATTACGACTGTTTGACCTTTTGTTCAAAATACTATTATCATTTTGGTTAGACTTGAAATTTTTTAAATATTGCTTAACATAACCCACCCATTATTTGAGAAATTTGCTCTTTTCGCAATCAACGGTAGAATGTCTTAATCCGTTAAATCTCATACATATATAGGATTTTGAGTTAGGCTGCTTGCATATTTCAATTCTCAACCTGGAGACTTTGAAATTCACCATTAATCTCCGGACCAGTCCCGGGTAAAAAGCTTGAATTATTCCATATAAGGAGATGTTGCTAGGATGGCACGGGTGTGAGGTGTGAAAAGTGAGGTCGTCTCAAATCTTGTAACAACATTGTAATCAGAATAAACAGCGTGTACTTTCGTCTACCTTTGTTTTTTGTCATAACTACGTGTCCTTTGGGGAGTGGTGATCCATTTGCAAACTGTGCCCTCGCCACATACGATTGTTTGTACTTCTAAGTCTAATCCTGATTGATCTTGACAGCTGGCAAGTGGCAGTCATGGGCTTCGAAACTATCCGTAACTTGGATATGTACAAGAAGGTGCGGTCCCCCCCCCCCCACACATATATCGACCTTTCAGAATATTCTAAATATTAAAAGGCACACGTTATATTTCCCGTAAAACTAAACCGATGTTTGTGACTATTAAAAGGTATAAATAAAAAAGTAAGTGTGTCCCGTTTTTAATACTTACAAACCTTTTTTGAAGGTGCCGACTGATTTGACGGAGAGAACTGCTTGCGGAGCCTTTATTTCTGTAGCCTGTGTTATTCTGACAGGTAGGTCAGTACTTTAATGTTAACATTGTCCGCTTTTGGTGCTTTTTCAAGTTTCAACGTAATTCTTTCGAGTTATGAGTCATAAACGAAATATTGTCTTTGATTCAAAAATACTCTTGTGGTGCCTACTACATGTGTGGCAAAATTCTCGATAACTTTTCAGTAAAGTTATATAAAGTTATATTTCAGTGTATCTGATGTTTGCAGAGTTGGTGCTCTATGCCAATGGTTCACTACACACCAGCATCTTTGTGTCGTATCTTAACCAGGAGGACGACATTGAAGTAAGGTAAGTCATTCAGAGTTATGTCCGTCCTTTTTAACAGTGAGATTACATTTCGGAGCTGTAGACATAAGAATATAATTTGTAACGTGTCAAAATCAACTTTTTTCCCCACTTTTTACATGGTTTATCAGTACAGACTAAAGGCTGTGATCGCGAACACAACTATATATACCATGACCATAGCTTCAATAATTACAATGAAAAGACTACAGGCTTACAATAACGTTTACCAAGAAAATCGCCAATAATTTTAAACATTTTTCACCAGGTTAAACGTTTCAATAGTGGATAAAGATTGTCAGGATCTATCCGTTAACTTGAGGCACTTACACGGACATCAGGAAAACATTCCTATCAATAAAGTACAGGTAGGTTATATTAATATTGGATAGAGATATTCCCAGGTGTTCATCCACCGCCAAATTCATAATCCCACCCCATTGGCATTACATCTTTTTTCGGAAAAATCCGTCTAGTTTGTAAAAAGCGTATGAAAATTGGTCGAAATCAGAAATAGAGGGTCCATCTAACGTGCTCGATGATAGAGCAGAAACATAAAAATAGAAATTTGAATTCTATTTATATTATAAGGTTTAAATTATTTGGTATTGCCAGAAAATTGTACAATTAATTGTATCACAAATTCATTCATTTTACAGGTTGCAGAGGACTGTAATATTAACGGAATGATCAAGATAAAAAAGACACCTGGAATCATGATGATCGTCCCTCATCACGTAGGAGTTTGTACGGAGTTGGGACCTTAACCCATTTCTAAAATTAGCTTTTTTGCGCCATATTTCGATTCGGTTCCAAAACAGGGGCATATTGATAATTTATCACTTCAAGTAACAGTCGATAAATCAGAAAACTAACAAAGGTTAACAGGGAAAGAATTGGACCGGGAAAGAATACAAGATAGTACCTGAGAATCGAGAAAAACCAATCATAACACCAAAAGGTTTTATCCCTACATCCGGATATACCCCGCCAGAAGGATACAAAGTAAGAAATCATTAAAAATATCATTAAACATGCTGAACATTAAACTTGTATAAACATTGCCACAAACAAGATTCAGTGTCTATAATCTAATATCATTTAATTCACAAAAATGTAAGTTTAAGAAAGAGAAGTTGAGGTTTTGACAGAACTTGTGTGTTGCAGGTAGTAGAGGTGATAAAGAGTCTGAAGATGAACCACGCTATTCATGAGTTTGAGTTCGGACCCTCACTTCACAGCACCCACAGGTGGGAGGAGGTATGTTTCACTTTCACTTTCACTTTCACTTTCACTTTCACTCTCTCAACTTTATTAATTTAAATTCTAGATGTTGGTAGAAACCAAGAAACTGCAATAACGCGGCTCAATTTGTTGCCTTAATTCTTCTTTGCGGTTTTCTTACAAACACAATAATAAATGATGCTGACAATCGATTAGTCCGCTTACCATTCAGGTATTACCGGTGAATGGCACACCATTCAGACCATTAGCGGGCGTAAGCAGAGAATATCCAGTCAACTTAGCACATGATTACCACATAAGAATGGTTCCAACCACATTCATCGATCAAAACAAGCGCAGGTAAAGTGGACCTAACTTCTGAATTTAGTGGATCTAACTTCTAAAGTAGATGTCCACTAGAGCGGGAGTATTCTTTGCCGGTTTTAACTTTAAAATGTGATCCAATTTAGCTAAAAAGGGGATAGATTCAACGATATCCTAAAATACTGCAATCTTACTGTAATACCTAGCAGTTGTCAAATACTAACAGTTTAAAACATTTCTGATTTCTCCTAGGACTGATACATACCAGTACTCGTACGCGTACCAGAACTTTGTTATGGCAACACCGGCTGGCATAGCACCACCTTGCATTTTATTCAGATACGATTTAGCACCCATGGAGGTAACTAAAAGTTTTACAGCTGTCTCGACATGACTCACACTTCAGTATATGAGTTATTATTATGGCTATCACTATGGTTACTATGGTTTTCTTATCAAATCTGTCTGGAAACTTATGCCATGATCAATGATTATGTAACCATTTTTTCTATTTTTTTGTTTTAAAAATTTTAATTTTAAATTCCCTGCAGATAAGATATCAGTACGACCGTAAGCCAGTATATCATCTTCTAACGATGATTTGCGCTATAGTCGGCGGAGTGGTTACACTGGCAGGGGTGGTTGATAAAATCCTGTTTAATACTCACCAACTCATTAAACAGAAGCTCCTCCTAGGAAAACAAAGTTGAAATCTCACAAAACACAAACCGTTATTTTCTTACTGGTTTCTGTGCGTTTATCAGACATGTTCCACAGATGTGATGAATATTTATTTTGTATCGTGTCCAAATCGATTTAATACATTTTCAGTACTTGTAATGGACTGTGTCATTTGTTTGACAGAAAACTCTTCACCTAGTAAATCTAAAAGACAGGAGTCCACTGACAAATAAAATCTAAACTAATTAGCTTTTTACTATAACACTTATTATATCAGATAAATAATTTTACGATCGCTTAGGATGTTGAAAAGGTTTGATTGCATGCGGAGGGTTCCTCGGACCCTGTCGCAGTCCTCGAGCAGTGGAGGCGTTCTCTCTGTTTTGACATGCATCGTCATTGTCATGATTTTCTACAGTCAGTTCTCCATGTGGTATGTGGACGTTTTATTATCATACTTAAATTTTAAATTCCTTTTACATTTTAAAATTATACGATTGGCTTCGAGTGCAATATAATCATAATACTGATATCTGGATATTATCCGGTTGGAAGAGACAAGGACAAGTGAAACAAGGAAGTTAGGAGTAAGGGCAAATTTTCGGCGTCAACGCCATCTTCAGGCTCAAATTATTTGTTATATAGTAGTGTTGAAAGTATTAATACTAATAAACAGCGAACTACTCCGTTATTTGATATAATCATAATAGAACAAGAGAAGCCGATCCAAAAAACCGAATATGCAAATGCTCGATTTAAATACAAATATGAGGAGGAATAGCACACAAACACAATACCCCTCATCTAACTATAACCTCTGTACAGGATGTCTCCAGTTTACAAGAGGAGGACGATAGTCCACAGAGATAGTGAGGATGATCACGTGCCAGTCAGTATGAACATTACATTCCTTAAAGCTCACTGTGACGATATCGCCTTTAAAATACATGTGAGTACCTGTAAACTTAATAGATTTCCTTCGCGTGTGTGGATTAAGCAGTGAAGTGCTAATTCCTTAGTTCGTAATATTGCTGTTGAGGACACAGTGCGGTTATAAAGTTGTTATACTCGAATATTTTATAACAGGATCAATTCTCAAAAATTACAAATGACATTACCAATCACGTGATGAGGAAATCAACCGGATCTGGCTGCAGAATGTACGTTGCTTATGAACTGAAGAGAATATCGGGAGAGTTTGTCTTCACCAGCAAAGATAATAAGGTTGGAAAATGTGTGGATAAAAGTTATGTTATGGAGGATATTTATAACAGAATTGCACTATTAACTTTAAAGCATTGACTAGTAGTATAGGGAACTATCAGGTCATGCACATTCAATAATCATTCATGTTTAAATATCAAATAATGTAGTGCATTCAAATGCGCAATTATACTGAGAAAAAAAAACCAAAGTGTGCACAATTCCAGACGGATATGAGTCATTACATAGAGGGTGCTGTATTTGGGGACACACACCGCTACGCTTACACGTGAGTAGAATCAATTAGACTACATTACGGGAGTTCCAAATCATGATCACTGGATAGCTTGAGAAGGTACAGCCGATCATATCAACGCTAAGTTTCAATATTTCAGGAAGGCATTTCATGCGTTGAAAGGTGTGAGACTGCGTGACATAGGGAGTTCAACACACGACTATATTGTTAAACTTCTTGAAACCACCTTCATTGACCTTTCGGTAAGACATTTTTACTAGCTACGGGTATTTGCCTCACAGAATGGCCAAAAAAAAGGAAGGTCTCTCAAAGTCACAAAACACACTTTATTCCAGTTTTTATCTCATAAGAAGCTAAGTTGACACTCATATTTTTCTTCCCGGGGGTTCATTTAATCTCATAACCATTTTTTCTTTGAGAAAAATTGGCCGGAAAATCTTCCTCCAAAAAAACATGCCTCACAGAATGGCCAAATCTGAATTTCTATAATTTTGTTGATGGAGATACTTTTTAAATTTCTATCACCACACGTTCTTAGAAAACCTATTAAGGAATGGGGTAATAACCTAAAACTCACGAAAAAACTGAGCTGTGAAAAATTATTTCACAAAAAAGAAAAAATGCCTGACAAAATGGCAAAAAAAAAAAGAAAACGAGAAAATTTTATTTTTCTAAAACCTTTGGCTCTTGTTTCAGGCATGTTGCTGGTATTAATATGCCTTGTTAACACCCCCATATAGGTGAAATTTCTTAGAACTGAATAAAAAGGGCATAATTTCCTACACCAAAAATGGCCATTTTGTGTGGCGTTGTTCATATTCCCTGATTTCATGATTTATAACCTTCATTCGGCTGTAAAAACACTCCATCTGGGGTGTTATTGTATGATAAATAGCTTGTGAATACTTTAGACTTATGGTTTCATTGAATAAAAGGAGTTTTAAATTTTGGCCATTTTGTGAGGCATATTTTGGCCATTTTGTGAGGCGTTTAGCCATTTTAACATTTTGTTTCTTCCTAAATTGAACAATATTCGTTTTGTTTGATGAATACTATTCTTTAAACATCTTCTGTCATACTGGTGCCAGAAGTTCTCACCAAAATGCAAACTTAGTTCAAAAATTTGAAAACAAATTTTGTGAGGCATATTTTGGCCATTTTGTGAGGCGTGTAGCCATTTTAGCATTTTTTTCTTCCTATATTGAACAATGTTCGTTTTGTTTGATGAATACTATTCTTTGAACATCTTCTGTCATACTGGTGCCAGAAGTTCTCATCAAAATGTAAACTTAGTTCAAAAATTTGAAAACAAATTTTTCAGTGCTCAAAATTTCTACATAAACAGTCATATTTATGCCAGAAAATGTGGTCCTAGTTAATGATTTCACCACAGGAAGTGTTGCCAGAAGACTTTTGTTTCATATGGTATCCACAAAACCTACAAGTCTTTTATAAAATATTAGTTACAAAAACATTTACAAATTTGGCCATTCTGTGAGGCTAGCCATTCTGTGAGGCATTTACCCGTAGTAAAAACATCGGGCTAGCCCAATAATATATTTCCTCCGGCTTTATCATACGTAATTTGTTGATACTAGTAAGAAGACATGCGCCTCAATAATTAAATAGAATTATACTTAATATGATGATTCACGATGCGAATAAGCAATAACGGTAATTTAACATTGCAGCTGGGAGAGGTCGCAAGCCCGTACCAGTATACATTCTCCTACAGATCCCACCTTGTACACAACAAGAAGGACGGTACCCCGCCTTCTATTGCTCAACACTACATCAGATTCAAGTAAGTTCCACACAGTGCAAATCAGGGTTTAGCCAAAGTGAAGGACAGTATTATTAGATTCACACTTTAATGTGGCGGTTTGAATTTTGGGTAAAATGCATGGCGAACAAGAGCCAAAACTTTTATAATTATATTTGCTTTTCCCAGCAAAATGAAACACTTCATTACAATAAAGGAAAAAAAAGATTTATATATACAATATGGGCAATAAACGTCCGATAAATACAATAATGTAAGAATAATTTTCATTCAAGAACTTACAGTTACGTATTTATAAATTTAATACAATTTACATAAATACACTTTAACATAAAAACCCGTTCTCAATATATTTAATAGTTCATCAAATAATCATCAAATATCAAGGAGTAAAAAAAATCGAGTTAAAAGTTTATCAGTAAATTATTACTTTATCAGTAAATTATTAATTTATGTTAAATTCTGACAATATTACTGTTGAGGACACGTGCCAGCACAGTCCGGTGTGATTCTCTCTCCAGCTTCCATCTCATTGGGTCTGTATAAAAAGGTATTCTCACAGGTCATGTCGTAGAAAGCAAACCTCTTAGCTTGAGCGTATCTCTCTTTGCACTCTCCGAGAAGAGCATGCTCGTAGAGGTGCTCACCGTTTATCGTTATTCGAACTATTCCGTCTTTTATGGAGAAGGACCAGGTAGTTTGTCCTTCGTCAGCTTTAGCACGTCTCAAATGTACAGGAGTCATACACGAGATGCAGCCGGTCATCCAGATGCCCCTGAGGTTCCACTGGAATTTCCCGATTTCTTTACCGTCTTCGTTGTAAAGCACGATTGAGTTGAGCTTCTTTCTTCTGAGCTTGGAGGCAACTTGGATACCTTCTTCGGAGGTAACCAGATCTTGTTTCACAGTACACTCTATGTTAGTGCAATATCCACACTCGGGAGTCCAGCAGTCACAGGTCGAATATTCTTCATTATACACTACATTATCAGGTGTCATTGTGTTAGTAGAGGCTTCTGTTGTAGGTTTCTTGGTGGTGGGCTTTACTGTTGTAGGTTTCTTGGTGGTGGGCTTCACTGTAGTTATCTTCTTGGTGGTGGGTTTCACTGTTGTTATCTTCTTGGTGGTGGGGTTTACTGGTGGTGGGGTAGTTCCCTTGTTATTGTCCATAGGTAATCCACGGATGTAGTAGCCCTCCATGTGTCTGAAAGTAATCCTGTCTACATCAGCATTTCCGAGAGCACGGCAGCTTTGTGGCAGGCCCGGTTTTCTGGGATTTACAGCACCCTCATCAAAATGTTGCGAGAATTGTAGTTCTCCGTCACATGTCAGTTCAACATCATCTTGGTTAAAGTTCCAGGCCCAGATCTGCTCCTTTTTCCCTCCAGCAGGAAAACTTCTGTAGGCTTGATATCTGGCATTACACTCTTCAATGTTGACGTCGAATCCTCTGTCGTACTTGATGGTATTCCACACCAAACGCCCGACTTTATTGTTCCAGTTTCCAGCTTGGAGCAACATCATCATAGTGGTTGCTTTGTCAGTCCTAAAAAGCTCGCCGTACGATGGGTTCGTGTTGTACACATCAGGGCGGAATGCTTTGACCTCCAGGATGTAATCTCTTAGGGGAAACATGACTCGTTCTTCGTTCTGAGTCAAGAGTCTCCATTCGGTAAGAGAAGGGTCCAGAACAGCAGAGAGGGCTGTGCTAAGTAGTGCGAAAACAATGGGGGAAATCATGCTGCTGAATAAAATGAGGTTAATAAATTATATCAGTTAAGGGTTTAACATCGCGAAATATTTAAGACAAAATTCAGGATAATAAGATTGCAAGTCATAAAGTTAGAAATTTAACGGAGTCAATTTAAGAAAGACTCCAAGATAATCCAAATCAATAAATTTGAAAAGCTTATTTCCAAATCACAGGAAGGCAAATATGTACCACAAATGTGATCCAACAAAACAGAGGCTGATGTTTGTCAGCTCAAACAAGGGTCTTATATACGATAAAACAACATTGGGCTCGGTCCGACAATTACGTATATCATAGTTTAATTAACATAATATGTGAGGAGGATAAGGAAGCCACGTCATGACGTTGCTGATATTACTAGATACAACATAGTACATATATGGTGTAGAGATAGAGTAGTGACGTTGTGTCCTGTATTCATAGTTAGCCGATACTGACGTTATTAAATTCACTAGTGATATGTAGCATAATAGTGATATTTGATTTATGACAACATAATATGTGTTCTATTTCTTTTATCCGCCAGGATGTATAACCGGAATTAACCATAGCACTTTAAAGACGCTCAAATCTTATGATGTAATAAAAAACCGCTTCCAAGTCCCAACCCTAGCAATACAAGATATAGATCGCTGTCCCCCTTTTACAAATTGTATTGATTAGTATCATGGCATTAATTGGTCAGCACTAACTTTAACTTACAGTAAGTGCTGACCAATGATTGCCATTACTATTATTGTGTTGTATAGAATATTCGATACAGTATAATATGTCGATACTCTAAAAAACTTATCGGACATATAAAACATAACTAGCTATTTACCCGTTAATTTCTCCAACCTAGATCCATTTTGAGAAAGAGTTTATTTGAATAAAATTTAAAGCAGAAAGAAATGCTCGGACTACATGAATACACCCCCGCCTGACCACCATCATCAACCCTCAGATACGCCTGGTCACCGCTGCTGGTGGAGTACATTGCGGAGTACAACACACTTTATGACGTCATAACCAACAGCATAGCTTACTGCGGGGGCCTTCTCACCACCGTGGAGGTCTTACACCGGGCCTTTATTGGGGGGTCCGCTTTTATCAAGGAGAACATGTACAAGAAATTGTGATTGATTATGGAGTAGGTTTTGAATTTTCCAAGGTTTGATAGGCGGTAGATTTGCAGACATTTTTTTGCTATTTAATTTAGAAGCGGGAATTTGGATTTTATATTGGATTGTAGTTAGTGTATATTGTCTTTTAAGCATTATTTATTTATTTGAATCACAAAACGATTGTGTAATGTGTATGAGTTATGTGTTAAATTGGATTTGTTTCATGCATACAGATACTCATCATCTGAATTATCTCATAATTTAACACAACATTACTGACTACCACGTGAAAGAAAAGCTAACAATTTTAAGTCTAATCCATTAACTGTAGGATTTATAGCTGATGATGATAGCGGCTGAGCCTCAGAGCCCGTTGGCAGTCATGGACTTTTACAGAACTTTACCAGCGGATCTAACAGCTAAAAGTAAAAGTGGGGGATTCATCAGCGTTGGAACTCTGGTGGTGATCTTTCTGTTGCTCTGGGCAGAAATCGGAAACTTCTTCTCAGGTAAAGGAGATTAGATAGAATAATTTCAAAGTTATTTTCATTTCAAATAAAATTATAAGAATCGTCTTAAGTTACGTAAAACGATGATATAAACAAAATTTGGAAGAATGTTGAGATTCAAATAGTTTAATTGGTTGACAGAAAGAAAGTACAGTACGATTATGGTAGAGAGGATAACCGGACATGACAAGATAGGATTGAACATCAACATGACCGTCCACGATTACGGCTGCCACAGTCTCTTCTTGAAGGTGCCACGATTAACATTAATGCTGAATGTTTAACGAATTTACGGTATTCTTTCAATTTTATAAGACATCAGCTTCTTTCATAAGGTATACAATAACTTAATAAGTAAAGTAAATAGTACTTTTATTTCCTATGTATCGTTTGCTATTCATGCTCAGATAACAATGTATCGATTTGAGTTGTCTTGATCAATCTCAGCATATCAATTCAAAATTCCACTATTCAGTACCGAACTCGAACGAAAGGGTATTTGATCGACAAATTGGACGAGTCAAAATTGATATTTATAGATGATCACCAAGGTGGATGTATGATTAGTGGAGAAACTGCTATTGTAAAAGTCCCAGGCTACATAGAGGTATATCTTAAGCTATTTTATTACTTCCATAAAAACTATTGTAAAACAATAAACATAGAAACAACACTGTAAAGGTATGGAAGGCTAGAAACTTAATTACAAAATCTAGTTTAATGGAAAATGGAAATGCATACATATTATGTCTGAAATTCAGTACAATCTAATATCTGCTCATAGATAGCACTGCGAAAAGCCGGCTCGAAAGAAGTGTCCCTCCCACATACGATAGAGCACCTCTACCTTGGAGACAACATCTTTCTGCAGGACGATGCTGTGTGGCACGACGACATCCCAGAGGTAAACCATAACCTCACTTGTCTCTTGCTCATGGAGGGGTGAGAGGACGGAGCGATCATAGGGACATCTAGATTCTAGAGGAACCAATCTGTTTGTTTCGATTCGTTTTCAAAGAAAATCGCTTGTTATTTCATCAGCTATCTCCCATTAAAAATGACACCAGCGATAGTCTCTCTTGCTGAAAGGTGGTAATGTACTGTAATTACAGATAGTGTTTAATCCACTAAGAGAGCACGATGAGAAGCTTGCAGAACCAGGGATGGACACGGAGTATCATTTACAGCTGGTACACACTGCCCTCCAGCTCCAACGGAACGGGGACCTGTCCGACCCTTACCAGGTTGGTGCATCTCCAGGAACTATACACTTCTTGGGTGGTATGGAAGTTATGAGAACTGTTTTAGTGCTAATAAGATACCAGTTTTGTCAGGATTGTTAATAATGATATTCTGATATCACTGATAACAGCTAACCAAAATACATCTTCAGTATTCTTATACCACGAAATCAGTAAAGAGCAAAAAGGCTTATCCAAGTGTAAAATTCTTCTTTGACTGGTCACCCATTACGATCAAATATGGAATCAAGTAAGTGTCATCTACTAATGAGGGCAGACTTCGAATACGATTAAGAATTTGAAAGAGTATTACCTCAGGCTATCATGATCATAAACATTAGGCGGAATGACAGGCTGAGCGCCGCCCAGTAAAAAGAGTAAAGAGTATCGAAAACTAATTAAGTTCTTCGTAGCCATGATAAATGGTTAAATTTCAGGAACTATTACTACTCAGACCTCGGTGGAAGACTAATCGCCACGATCGGAGGATGCTTCACGATCGCCATGTTCCTCCATACATTCCTTATTACCAGTGCACAAGCGGTGCTTGCCAGAGTTTCACCCATGTCATCCATGAAATTGGGAGCTTAGCATTGTTTATTACTGTAGAGCATGGCAAACTTTTTTAAATTGAATTTCATTTCACTTTCGGTTTTATTTGGACATATTTAGAAATATTTATTAGATTTGACGTCTGGTAATTTATAATATTAACAAGACACAAATACAATATTATGTAAGAGATATATGTAAATTAAGATTAAAATAAGTTATTCTCATTGAATTTTGATAAGAGGGATAATTGTTGATCTATGGTCTAGACTTATTTTGTAAACAGTCACAAATTGTGGACGATTGGGCTATAACAACAAAAGACAATGTTTGATGTTGAAGTCATAAATTATTTCGAATTAAAATGTCTGGTAAAACACGACAGGAATAAAGTAAAATTGAAAGTACAAACCGTTAATATGTATCTGACCAGGAAGGATGGAAGCGGTGAAGAAGATGGACATCTTCCACTCGCCAAGCTACGATGTAGCAGAACCTACAAAAGTAGGGGGAGCCCTGAGCCTCGCAGCCATCATCTTCTGTACACTCTGTTTCTTCTCTGAAATCGGGAATTTCAGACATGGTGAGAGTTCAGATCTATGTGAAAATCATCAGCTAATAATAATATGGATTATGGAATAAAACATTTTCATGTCATTGTAGAATGTAGATAGAGTATTCATTATCTATAGGTATAATTCAAGTGCTTTCTTTCTGCCAGGAAAAGTAAAAGAAATGGTGTATCTAGAAAACGACGTTGGGGGCAAGAACATGGTTCTGGTTTTCATGGACATCACGATTATGGAGCTGTCGTGTGAGCACGTGACCCTGGACATCCAGGATGGACATGGCAGGTATGAGATAGACGAGCACAGCACAAAGAAGAAGGGGGATGAGAACACTGAGGAGAAGCATCCTCATGTGGAGAAGGTAGGTGAGCTCTGAGAGCTGTGATTGCTTCAAATTTTATTATGGAGTTATCGAGTCTTGAACACTTTACAGGAGAGAAACAAGCTGTGCTTGCTTTCCTATAAAACATATTGGGTCAATTTTAGAAGTGCAATTGGCTCATATGATGGCATCTCCCAAGGGACTCTCATATCATACTGTCACCAAGATGCAGTTAGGTCTAACCAGTTAGACCTAACCAGTTGGCCTAACGCAGAGTTACTGAGTTAGGCCTAAATTAGGCGTTAGGCCTAACTGCATCTTCAATCTTGGTGACAGTTACTGTTAGGCCTAACGCCTAATTTAGGTCTAACTGAAACTCTGCGTTAGGTCTAACAGGTTAGACCTAACTGCATCTTGGTGACAGATATGTTTCAGACAGACACAGATGATGGTGGGTGTCACTTCCACGGATATATCCACGTTCGGCACATGAAAGGGAACTTCCACTTCACGCCTAGGGGAGCACACCATCACCCAAACACAACTATATCCCACAAAATCGACGGTCTCAAGTAAGACTAAGAGAATACAACATTTTTGAAAATCTAAAATGTGCATATCCAAACTGCCTATATAATACTTTCAACTACGTTTTGACATTTCACAATTAAATAATATGTAAGTAGATACTACTAGTACTGGTGCTATGCATATTCCGACTGCTTTTATCAGTTGTACGTCATCGGAAGGAAATCTTGTGAATGTTATGGCTGGTGGAGCATTTACATTTCTCAAATTTACTAATAAGGGGTCGTTCACATATTACGCAATTTGAAAACAAATTTGAAAAACAAAATTCGGCATCAGGTTAAACCACCTCTCTCACTCAGATTTGGAGACGAATTTTCACAGGATCAAGAAGAAGATGACATACCCCTTGACCCGTACAACAGTTTGGGAACCGAAGACAAAGAGTCTCTGGAGGGAGAGACCCACGATTATCTGGTAAAACTGGTCAGAACGGAAGTGATAGATGAGGAATTGGCGGAGCATATATATCCTTATCAGTATACTTATACTCACAGGCACTTCGTAGGTAAGATTATCAACTTGGATTACACTTCGTTCTAAGAATTTTAACGGAACAAATAGCTGATGGTTGAAGTAATCGAAGAGTTTAGTATAAAATGTCACATAACACTACATAACATTGCGAACTAACCTATAAGGACAGTAACAAGGTGTAATCTAGTAAATGTTAGCTCTCTGAAACTGTTCTCCCCTACAGGGCACCACAATAATAAGCCCCTCCCTCCCCGCATCTTCTTCAGACTGGACTTCTCGCCGCTCACCATGAAGTACACCATAGTCCACGACTCTTTCCTTGTTTTCATATCTCGACATTTAGCTCTCATTGGAGGAACCTTTGCTGTCCTCAAGATGTTCTACAACGGAGCACATGTGGCTAGGGAGGCCAAGTTCCAGTAAAACAATTATCATATCTGGCGAAGGGTCGTCGATGAGATGGTTATATATCGTTTTAAAAGAAGTTATCTTTTACGCCTCTTATTATACATGATGACATAGATTTGCAAGATCGAGTTTGGCCTTGATAGCTCAACCATCAGTTAATTTATTTCTCAGATATTTTCACTCAGCAGTTTTCATCTCATTAAACCGAAACCTTCAGTCAAGAAATTAAGATTTCACTGAGGCAGGTATGTATCAGTATGTGAATACAGAAAAAATTTGTATCCAATCTAAAAAATTGTTTTAACTTCAAGGAACAACAATGAAACTATTTATGTCAAATATATTGAATTTAAATATTTGATAAATTTTACTAAATTAATCCACAATTATCAATCGTTGCTCAATGGATTCCATGAACCTGAAAACTTAAAACAGATCTGTCATTATCATGAATTTAAAAGTGGGTGCCCAACATTCAACAACCATAGTCAAACAAACAAACAATGAATTTTAGAAGTCGAAGAGATTACGATCTGAAATAAATCGACTCAGACATTTCACATTTCCCTATCGCTCATTTTCGTCTATTCATTATCAATCTCTACTTCATCATTCAAGATAACGCTTCCTCATTTCTTCTTGAATTGAAAAGCTGCGAGTTTTGACTTGGTTCCATTCGATACTTCAGGCTTATCGCCCAGCTTTTTCGTTTTAGACGGATTCATCCCAGAGTCTTCATTATCCGTTTCAAAACTAACTTTCCGTTTCCCAGATCGATTTGAGTCGACATTTTCTGATGTATTGGTGTCCAAATTTTCCTTTTCTTCGGGCGCTTTTTCAGGACTTTCAGTCTCATCCTCGACAGCTGAACCATTCTGTTTCTCAGAATGATCATCTTTTTCCTTATGATCATCTTTATCTTCACTATCATCAACTTTAGAGTCAGGGCTTTTTCCAGCAGTAATATCTGGTTTAGTTTTCTTGAAACTGTTAATTAGACTCACTGTTGGTTCAGCTTGTTTGTTTTCAAGCTGTTTTGCCTGCTCCAGCCACTTATCCTTCTCATCTGTAGATAAATGTCTCCATTTAAGTGGGCCAGATTTAGGTTCCAATCCTTCCTGAGTCTCAAACCACAGAGCATAACCGGTTTTTTTCTTTGGCTTCGTCTTTTTTGTAGGTAACTTCTTGGCGTCACTTTTTGTAACTCTCTGAAAGGTCGACTTTTTCCCCAAATCTGCCAAAGTCAGCCCGGTTCGCTTTTCAGGAATATTCTGTAAGGACTTCCGTTTCTGGCCCATCTCTATACTCTTATTCTCGATGGTTTCAAGGAATGTTGTACTTCTGCGCTGAGTATTTTGCACCTCGTCTGATTTAACAGAGAAAGGGTTAACATCAGCCGCTACAGGAGCTGTCTCGAAAATGGAGGGTTGGTCCTGACTATCGTTCTCCTCAACTTCCTGTCTCGGTTTGGAAGGAGCAGCAGTAGGGCGATTATTCAGACGTAGAGGGGCCACCGACTCGTCAATTTGAGATATCCTCTTCTTCGTCTTCGACATCGAGTTTCCTCCCTGAAATACAATTATTATCAGTACAATGCTATTTTCAGAGATAAGTGTTTTGTGACACGTTTAAACAAATTCTATTGAGTTTGAAATTGAACTATCAAAGGTCGGCCCGTTAAGCTGGACTCAAAGTTAAATTCATTTAAAGCTGTTAAAGTAAGCTTACACTCCAAGAGCCTGAGCTGGAGGTAGGCTCAGCAGTAGCTATGAAAGGCTCGGGGTTATAGGACACTTCAGACACTTCAAATATGTCATCTTCCTCTCCGGGACCTGAAACAAGAGAACTTATTTTCAGCCTACTTATTATAAGTCTCGTATGTTACTTAATGTAGTTCTCAAGCAGAGTGACGTGCTTGTTTAGAGCCTGTACACGTAGAGTAGCACACATGAAACACGTAGTGATGAGTGTACTGAACTAAGTAACATGACATCCGGCCTCAACACACAACAAGTTCGCATTCTGCTTTCAAACTATACCCCACACACAAAGTAATTTTTTAAAGTTTAAGGGATCATTAAAATACATTCTCTACATTCACATCATTACCACAGGTACTCACTTCTTCGTATTTTCTGAGGACATCGTTAATTTTCTGAGCTAACATAACCCTGCCTGTCTTGCTGGCATATCGTGTCGCCATCTCCAGGGACTGTTTTGTTGGCATCATCTTCGCCAGCTCGAACGCTTTGAAGTCCTTGTTGTTCTTTATGGCAAGGGCCATGAGTTTAAGAAGCAGAGTAACTTCTTCTTTCTCCATTGTCTCAGCTCTACATTCCTACAGTTTGAAGAACGATGTCAAAATAATTCAGAATAAACACAAACAACAACCTAAATTGAGTGATGAGCATTGAGCAAAGCACGTTTTGTGGGGAATTGAGGTGACAAGGCACAAAAAGAGAGCTCCCAATTATGTCATAATTAGAGAAAATAAAGCACCTTGTGAAAAGTGTTGAGTTTGTTGAGAGAGTAAGTTTTGACGAAGTTGAGGACCCGGTTCTGCTCAAGACTGGTCCTCTCACTGCCAGCATCACAGAGTGGCACAGTGTGGGGTACTATGGACAACATGGGGCGTGGAGACAACCCCGGGTAAGTGACACCTGGGGTGTGTAGAACCGTCAACTCTCAGGGAGCAGCATACTACTATCCATTTACTAAACAGAAATTAAGACTGGTATACCCCCTCAATTCTCAAATAAAGGCTATCAGGTACAGCCGAAGAAAAACCAGCCACACCAAGGTGGGAGTTCAACAATCTACGAATCAAATCTTCCATAACATACCTTTACACAGGACACACTTTATAGCCTCGTCAGTAGCGGAGACCACCCAGTAGGTATCGGAGAGGTTACGTTTCCCAACTCTTAAGTCAGCAAGTGGGACCCACATCAGGTTAGCGTGAGGGAGCAGGGCTCGTAATACACCCTCACTGTCGAACACCTGGAGCAGAGGGCAATCAGGGGTAACTGTGTGGGTTATCAGGGGTAACTACTAACTGTGTGGGTAATAAGAGGGACTGGGGTAGCAGGAGGTATTCATAATTTATCTCTACAATTCCTTTTACAACGACGAGATTATGTCAAAATAGGTAATCACAAACTCTGCCTCTAGATAAAAACAGGATAAGATGAAGTTAAATTTGACTTACCAAAGGAAGAGCGCCCTCAGTAAAGCCAATCCAAGAAAGAGAAGAAGACGGGGTAACCGGGAGAGGACCAGTATGTATGAGGCGGGGTTTTTTAGTGTCGTACAAGGAGAAGCTCAAAGTGGTCCCGCTGTAATGTGCCACACTGATGAGGTCGTTATGTGTTGAGAGGGTCACTGGATCTCCTGATTAAATGAATCGAAGTTAGAAATTCCAGTTGATCGAACAGCATTAATCCCAATAATTAGATGAACTTGAGCGTGCGGGCAGTTTTTTATAGGAAATTACAGCTATTGAAACGTTATATGAAACTAACCAGGAAGAGATATAACATGACGCTGTAGCCCTCCCAAAGACCAAGTCCTCACGTAGTTGAGGTCAGATACTACACACAGCAGGGTATTACTGACACTTAGTAGAACAGCACTCTCCTCTTTTGGCAAGTTAACTGTCCACTCTTTGGAGGCGGACCAGGAGGAGAATATGTTTACCAGTATCTTGCTATTTCTGAGATGGAGATTGGAACATAACGTTTAGTTGTTACTATCAGAAGACTGATATAGGGATGAAACTTGTGCCGAGGCGATAAAACGGTTGAAAACTAACTTTGATTTCGTCTCGGATCCGCTGTTAGCTAGGGCGTAGGCCTGTTTACTCATTGACCCCAGAATATAATCTTCGCTGTTGACCATGTGTAGGGGATGGTGGGTTGTAGAGTCGTGAAATTCTAAAAAGAACAAGTTTAATTTCATCAACTACTAAACAGGGATACAAATTATATTATTTTCACTCGACACTCCTGCAGTTGATATTCAAAACAGATAATTTTGTGTACTTAAGTAAAATACCGATGTTGATGTAACTAGAGTCGTCTTCCTCCCGGGAAGTAATGGTGCCGATCTCGTTCCAAACAAGGTATCTGTACTTCAGATGATCAGGAGAGGATGATACTTGGAATGCCTCTTGCAGCTCTGGTCCAACATAAACTGAGACACAGCAAGTTAAAGTCATTGTTGTGTTAGATTTTGATTGCTGGTCAGCCCTGTGTCTTTAGGATGCTTAAATGGGATTTGCAAACATTCCAATGGGCGTGATATGCATCCGATAATTACGATATACAACGGAAAACCTACAATCCGGATGGTTATTTATTATTATTTATTTCATACACGCAGTGCAGTCAGCTAGTATATATAGCGCAGCGGGAAAAGTCTACGCTTGCCACTGACGGGAGTAAACTATTAAGCGTATATCTCGTTCGGCGTCCGCGCGCGCCGTTACGCGCGGTAATCTTTGTTACCGCACAGTCATGAGTTAGGCTATTGTATTGCTTTTCTCGTAAAAATTAAATTTCTCTACGTCAGTGATCGTAACACTTGTTTTATTTTTTAAATAAACCCAACTTAGGCAGGCAGTCTTATTAACCTGGTTCTGGTTCAGCCGCTACTACAGGCTCTTGTTTTATTATCTCAGGAGTTGTAGGACGTTCTGGAAGTTTTGCCATTTCCAGGATGCTCGGTTCGTTGCTGTCATCGTCATCATCATTTATAATGGCAGCATTTCTTGATGCAACTGCTTTTATGTCATCTTCATCTCTGTCCTGTATGTATTTTTGTTAATTAAGCAATATACGAATCTGGCGAGAATTTAAAGGTTACATAAAAACATCACCTAAGATTATGTCTAAAAGACAAACTCAAAATTCCACTAACCATGTTGGTAAAATCTTGATCTTCATCGTCGCCCCAATCTTCAAAATCTTCTGCCTCCACGTCTAAATACTTCTCCACACCGTTCTGACCAAAAACATAAAATTAAACAACTGTGATAAAATAGAGCACTACAGAATACAAAGCAACAAGGACATGGAGTTAAAATGGAGAAAGACTTAAACAAAAGGGATCGCTGCACGAATGGAACCCTGAGAAACCCGCCAAAATCAAGTACCTGAGTGTTAGTTTTAAGAGAAGCTTCAGTTTTAGGCGCACTTGAAATCATCTCACTGGTCACATACGGATCACATTCTCGCCATTTTCCTCTCAAATCACCAACCAGCATCTTGTATTCCTGTTAACGTTGAAATTCATCATTTTTATTATAGCTACATTATAATAACAGTAGACAACTTAACTTGTTTCTGTGTGAAATAAACTAATTAATAAGAAACTGTTTAGAGGAAAGCATGTTTGATGTTTCAAAACAATTTTCCACATTGGCAAACTAATTAACCAGACTATAATCAGTAAAACTCACTAAGATAAACTAATTAACCAGACTATAATCAGTAAAACTCACTAAGATAAACTAATTAACTAGACTATAATCAGTAAAACTCACTAAGATAAACTAATTAACCAGATTATAATCAGTAAAACTCACTAAGATAAACTAATTAACCAGACTATAATCAGTAAAACTCACTAAGATAAACTAATGAACCAGACTTTAATCAGTAAAACTCACTAAGATAAACTAATTAACCAGATTATAATCAGTAAAACTCACTAAGATAAACTAATTAACCAGACTATAATCAGTAAAACTCACTAAGATAAACTAATTAACCAGACTATAATCAGTAAAACTTACTAAGATAAACTAATTAACCAGAAACTCACGGAGGGATGAGTGGCTATAGAGGAGGGCACAGAAACACACTTCATCTTATTTACACAGGAATATGTGTGGAGATCCCAGATTAGTATAGTACCGTCCTTGCACCCTATTACTAGATACCTGGTGATAATAGTTCAAAATATAGGTGATGATATTTTGGTGTACAATACTAGAATAGCAGAACTGAGTGAATAATTAAAGTTAGAGTGGTTCATTTCATTGTGTTTGTATAATTTATGCATGCAAACAATTTAATTTGGAGCCTCTACCTTTTACAATAAGACAGCTCGAGTTCAAGTATACTGTTCATATCATCTGATTTAATGGTTTTCTTTTCTGACCAATCACCACTTGAGTATAAAACCACCTGAAAAGTGTTAGCGGTTCATTAACAACATTATGGGGTGAAATCTATGTAAATGGTTCAAACTAAACTTTGTTTAAAAGAAGTAAGTTAAGAAGTAAATAAACACGAGACATGTTGATAATTTTATTTAAAATAACCTCATTTTCTTTGGCAACAATCAAGTTCTCATAACTGTCAAACTGAATAGCACCCCTGACTTTCGATAAATCTACATCGTTACTTTTGGGATAGATATCAAACGTTTTCAAGCACTCCCTAGATTTAGCATCCCAAACTTTGAGTGTCCCATCACAACTAGAACTGGCAAAAAACTGTTTGCCTGAGAAATTGATTTTAAACGGAGAAACTACTGCCAAACAATTGATAAGAAATGGAATAAACACTTTAACAGACGTTTTCTAAGTGAATCATGTTGCTTCTTTAGCTATTACACCCTGTTGTAGAGAACTCTTATTAAATATACCATACCAAATGCAGTTCTAAGGATTGGTGCACTGTGTCCTTTGATGGTTGACTGCTCTTCACTGGCCAAATCTGTAAATGAGAGACATTTTTAGGAGCCATTAAAACCGATTGTAAAAACAATTTTGGGTCAAATACAGTCTTAAGCTGAAACACAAATAAAATCTTGCCACTATCTCACCAATGTAGGCGGAGTCATGGCAATAATGCCATTACGAATTAAAATGGCCTGAAATAAATGGCGATGATTCCCAATATTAAAATTATACTTTATTATGATAATATCAGACCTGTGATTTTCATGATGAACTCAGCACTTCCCACCAATATTTTATCTTTATCAAAGTTAAGCGAGAAATGTGTAACATTCCCAGAAAATTTCCCCAAGAAGCCAGACTTGTTTCCTTCAGGAAATCCCCACTTCTGGAGTGACCAGCCCTCTGATGCTGCAACTAAATTCTCCTCCCATTGTTTGATCAGGCTGACATTGAAAGCGTCAGCAAAAAAAGTTTGCTCTGGATCCTGAAGAATTAGGATATTTAGGAAGTGACCAATGGTGTAAGATTGGGACTCAAGTCAAACATATGAACCAAGTAGAGTTTAAAAAACGAACAAAATTTCAGAAACCTGAGAATCAGGATATTTATGAAACCTGAAAACCCATGTTTAGTGTTTACTAATATATATCAAGAGGATCACTTCAACTCACTTCAGTACTGTTCACTCCACTATAAATCTTCACATCTCCCTCAGTCCCCCCTGATATTATCCGTTTCCCATCCTGGCTATAACAAACAGCCACATGTCCATCCTCGTGGGACCCAAAGCCTGCACTAAATGTCATAGAGCTGTCAATGTTATAGTATTGTGAGCACAATTAGCTAGCAACTGTCACAAAAAGGCAAATTATACTGTGTTCAGACCAGTCCTTGCAGTAAATTATTTGTCAATACTTTTGAAGCTCTTTGAAAAATGCCATTTACCAATTAATTAATTTGTTGATAGTTGATTACTTTTCTCATTCGATAAAATTGCATCATTTTAAACAGTCAATTTAAACAAGGTGTATGAAGTGACATCATAGAACACACTAAATCTTATATATATGTAATTTTCTATCTCTTCAATAACTTTCTTCAAATTTGACAAACATTTTTGTATCCAATGCAACCCATTTGAAGTAAATAGTTTTTCTTCCTTTAGTTGTTTGTTTGTGACATAAGAATAAAACCTTCTTCTTCTCAAGTCACTTATCCGTGACAACTTTAACGAACATTTCTAAGTCCAACCCATTTGATAGTTTAAAGATTTTAGCCAACAAAGTGTTCTCCTTTTCCACATATGCCAGGCAGGTGTATAAGCCACCTTTCTGAAAGTTTTCTATCTCTAACATCGAAATATTGACAGTGACATTTATTGATCTGTAAGAAAGAACTGCGTATCCCTCTGAGAGATTCATGCCTGTCAAAAAACCGAAGGTCCAAACCTCAGACCCACAAGATTTCGATACTATGTCTTCCAGTATACAGAATGTGTGACTGTCTCCTTCTATAGGCATAGCTTTCCAACTGCAAAGTGTAGAATGTGAAGGTAATGGTTATCGACAATCAGCTGGTATTCGATGAACATATGGTAAATCTCAGCAAGAAATTTGTCCATACTTAAGGGGGCCGGGGGGGGGGGGCGGGTCTTCATCAAAATTATCTCGAAATCTAGTTTATAGTTGTTTCTGATAGAAGGGAGTGATATCTATCAGCTGCTTTTGGTCCCATGAAAAAATATTGTTCCTAGCCGCAATTATCGCCGGTCAAAGGTCAGTGCTCATGTGTAATTGTATTGCGCGAGCGATTTTCAATCGCGCATCCTGAAATTTCACTCGAATTTTAAAGGTCCAAGATTTTCAAAAACGAATTAAAAATCTTTAAAGGCCTATCTCAAAATACTGGCTTGAGAGTTCTCTTTTAACTGATCCTAAGAACATATCCTGAGAGTTTGAGGGTGATTGCTCAAAAAATGTAGGAGAAGATAGATTTTTAGACGCGATTTTCAGAACGCGCAATTGAAAATCGCTCATAAGCGCCGACCTTTGACTGGTGATAATTTCGGCTAGGAGAAATATTTCTCCATGGGACCAAAAGCAGCTGATAGCTATCACTCGACTCTCTTCTATCAGGTACAACTATAAACTCGATTTCGAGTTTATAGTTGGATATAAAGAAAAGGATTGAATTCAATTGTAGACATGTGTGATGATGTGATGTCATAAATTTTACTTTACTGCTCAAATTTTAGTACCATCTCACGAATCTTTACTGGGATTGATTCCAACTTATCTGCAAGACATGTTCGGATCCAAGTTTGGTGTGTGTAGCTTCTCAGTAGTAGCTCTCCAGATGAACAATCAATTTACTCAATCTCTGGAAACTTTTAAAGCTCTTCTAAAACCTTTCCTATTTAGACTGCTCCTTCATGAACTTTTGAAACTACAGGGTGGGCCAAAAGTCAGTGTGCAAACGTTGGCCTTAATAGCTCAGTCACTTAGTGCCCAATTGAAATACTTCCTTCTGGTATGACTTAGTACCACCACTGGTTCGAGGAATTTGTCAACTCGAAAAATATTCGCGTTCATTTTTTTCAAATGGAGGTTCATTTTCACATTTATTTGATAGTTTGGATAGTCGGATCAAGCTAAATGTTACTGAATTGTGTTTGGCCATTCGAATTACGTTTGTCCTGAAAGAATTAGAACTGTAGCTTCTCAGATGACCGAGATATGAAGCATAACGAGTTTATTCATTACGTGTGATCAGGTGATTGGTTTACCTAATCACGTGATAAGGTGACCCCGTTAACTACCCCGTTAAACATTATGGGAATTGTTAATTAAGGTGTCGTGTCACGGTGTCACATAATCACCCAGTCAATTTTGTTAACGAGATACACAAAATGCTTGATAACTTCGTCATTTATAATCCGTTTTGCCTCATGTTTTCAGATCATATGCAACATTTAATAATCTACCGTCTCTGAAAAAATTAGGCGTTCAGCATGTTCAGAGAAAACAATATAGGTGTTTTAATATTGAATGGGCGTGGTCTAAAATATTCGAATTTTCAAATTTTGACGACGGAATCCTCGAACCAGTAAGTACAGTATGCCATCTGCAAAGCAACAGCTCTCAAATATAAAACACGGCGGAGGTATAAGACCCAACGTTTGCACACTGACTTTTGGCCCACCCTGTATATAAGTCATAGTTGGTGTACGATCTTAAATTTTTTGGATACATAGTATGAATGGGTACTCCATATCAATAAGAATGCACAAAAACATAGTTAGTTATCAAATTTGAAATGTTTTGAAATGCACCAATAAGAAGTAAAAAATTATTCAAACAATAAACACATAATTGTCACAATGACCCTATATATAAAGAAAACTTTTCAAAAAATCAATATATTCCCTACCTATCTCAAATATTAGGAGAAACAAACAAAAACTTACAAAGAAATATTTCCTGTAGATCCTTGGTATATAAGCAACATTTGACAGAGCATTGTGTGGAATGAGCTATGTGCCCATCCTTGGAGAACCCAGCGAATGTCCTTGCTGTACGGCAGTGTTAAACAAGGAACTGAACCGATAGGTTCCGTTCAGGCCCTTCACACTTTCTTTCTGTCTAGTAGTTCTAATGTACCGTCACAATAGTGACTTTAAATATATCAACAAAGCTTTTTTCGTACCGCTGTCTTCCCGAAACAATAACACTAAAAACTACTGCGTGATAAGGTATTCTTATGAAAGTATGACAGTATTTGCTTTAGCGCTTGATTTTCATAAAATCTTGTAAATTTCGAAAATATGCGCGGCGCACCTAAAAATTTGGTTCCATTTAAAATTAATGTTTTAATCAGAATTATATCTAATATTTTTTGTGCAAAAATTACACAGGGGCGCCTTCCATTAAAAATGCATTAGACGTTAATTGACGATGTCAATTTATCGTTGATACATGTTTCGTATCCAAATATCAGAGTTTTATAGCGCGCGCCGCATGCCAAGCATGTCGTTGATCTAGCGCATCGCGCTACAACATTAGACGCACACAATCCACAATTACACATTATTAGTAGCGAGAGTGTTTAATTCGGAATCTCGCTTTCGCCGCGCGCAATATAATAGCGATTAAGTTCAAATTATATTTTAACGGGTGATTGGTGATACTCGTAAAATATTTGTTTCAAATACAAAATATTAAACGAGTCCAACCCGGCGCGCGTCCTGGTAAGTTATACACCTACAAATTATATTTAAACATTTATTTAAACTTTAGTTCATCAAATTTAGCAATATAATGGTTATCAAAATATATTGTAGCGCGATGCGTTACTGTGCCGCGCCGCGCACTCAATGAGGCTTCTCACAGCGATGCGCAACTGTGCCGCGCCGAGCTGAGATGAATTGACATCGTCAATTAACAAAATATACTAGTGGTCATTTCATAAACGATTATATTATTTTATTTAATTGAGCCACTGCTTGTAATTAATGATTGACAATAGTTTATTTTATTTGCTTATGACAAATACGCGTTCTAAAATTTTTTTCAGTGTTGATAATTATGGTATTGGTATGATTAATAGATTAGTATGATTATTACGCTACACTTGTATACAGTAGGCTTAATAATAAAGTTTATGGTCATAAATATTGATTGAAAAAAATTCCGAAATATTGGAATAAGACATTTGTAATTTTATTTTTTAATATAATTCTAGTCAAGTAGTCAAGCCGCGCATCGAAGCTTGATCCAAATTGTAAACTTTGTAAACGTTTGCGGAGTAAATATTTTCGTTTTGAGCGCTAGAACTGAGTTGAAGCTAGTTAGTTTTTGAGTCATGCCATGCACGTAAGCTGGTATCTCTCATTAACAATGTTGAATTGCAACTGGTTACCTGGCACTCGCTGATTTTGAAATGGTCAACCAACCCGAAACCAGAGAATAGAGGTAAGACCTTTCGTCTAGACACTTGATGAAATTTGTTGTAGCTATCTCGTTTGATAAGTGATAATAATAATTTTTTATTCACCGAATAATTTTTGCAGTGAATTCCGATAAGACAGGGTAACTACTCAATTATTATTTTTGTCCAGGTGAATTGATCTGAAAAACAATGCCGTCCAGGATGCAGCATTCCTAAGATATGGTTGCTAAAACATGGACTTATAATCTACGGCAGTGGTAAGGGCTCTCCTAATTTGCTTGAAACATGACCCGTTTAAATCAAAATAGAAGTCTGCTGTGCAATTATACTATATTATAATCAATGAAAAATATTTTTCAGAATGTGATGAAGAGTAGTGGAAATGTCTTCTACTCAAGATGAACTACGTCATGGGATAATAACACTACAGTTCTGTTCGCTCTCTCCGATCCCTCTTGCTAGGTAAGTTAGTTTGTAATCTGAGTACAGAGTATAAAATTGTGAGCAATTGTACAAGAAACTAGTCGAAAGCATTCAAAATTTAAAATCAGCTATAATATCCATGTAATCAAATTGAGGAAGCATAAGAGCGTTTACAAACATTTTTCTATATTTCAGTGGAAGTAGTTTTTTGACCTATATAATGTTCCTATTCTTCTAGTAACATTAGATCTTACATAATCAAGATGGTCCTGAAAGTTTTATAGGTTGTCTATCACCTGACCTAGGTATTTCTGGGATTTGGTTTCTTCTATGTGAAGACTGCCATCTTCCAAATCGAGAGGGATCGACAGTCTATCAAGATTAGGACATTTTTCGAATACTATGAATGAGGATTTTGAAATATTTAGTCTTAGCTTGTTAATCCTAAGCCATTCATATAAAATCTTTATACTACTTCTACTACATTGTCAGACGAGCCTCAAGTGATATTATCAAAATA